ATTAAGAAAAAATTGGAAAATGAAACATTTTTCTTGAACATTTTTTTTTAATATGCCTGCCATAACGATAACATATCCAAGGTGGTTTTGATGAAAAACTGTGTGTGTGTATGGGTGTGCTAGATCAGATTTAAAAAAAAAAAAACAAACCCTGTTGTGAAGAACTGTTATCCTGCTGTGGGTGGAGTTCAGGCTCTATCTCACTGCCATGCTGGGAGGAGTAGCTGCTCTGCTGGTTAATAACCCAATTCCTTGTTAATGAGCTGGGATTCCTGGCAGCACTGTGTCTCCCATGCCGCCCCATGGCCCAGGACGGGAAGGACCCCTGGGAAGGAAACCAGACGTGAGGTCGCCAGACTGTAGTTCTTATGAGGAACCAAAAGCATATCCAGATATGTTTCTGTTTACATATTTCAGCCAAATGATTTGTCTAACCGAGTAATGACATTTCGTTATATCATTTTTACTGCCTTTTGTTTCAAGGAAGGGAACGGACCCTCTTCCTAGTGAATATTGACTCCGCTGCGCAGGGAGGGAGGTGGGCGGTCGCCGTACTGCTCGCAGCACAGACTGATGGGGTAGGGCAGAGTTACACTAATCTGTGCCCAGTTCCTGTTACAGTGCCACCTGTCCCATTGCTGCAGCTGGAGAAGTGTTGCACCAGAAACAACAGCGTGACATTGGCCTGGAGGATGCCACCTTTGAGCCACAACCCGGTGGAGGGTTATATCTTGGAACTTGATGATGGAGATGGTGGACAATTCCGAGTGAGAATTTCATTCAGCATTTATTTGTGTTTCTTTGTATGTGAGTTTCCTCAGGATATGTATTTGTGTCTGCCCGACAGACATGGGAGAGGGAAGACACAGGTTGTCAGAACATCCCTGCTTCCATCGTGTGGATGTAGAAAGCAGTGCAGGTGCTGCTTATTAGAAGGACCCCCAGCTTGGGTAGGAAGTTTTGTTGAGGTTATTCTCAGGGCTTTGGCAAAGAGGGCCTTGAGGTCCCCCTGGAGTGTATCAGAGCAGAAAATCCCATACTAGCCTACAGGAGCTGAAAGTGGTTCATTCCACAAAACAGAGGTTTCTTTGAAGTCCCTACTCTCGTCTGTCCATAGCACCGTGTTTCAACAGCTGAGATTCTTGGGCCAGAAATGCAACTCAGTTTTTCCTGGTTTTCTGAGTAAACATGGGATCCTGCATAAAAATATAGGGTTTCTAAGTCTTTTCTGTGGGAGTGGATGAGACCAGGCTGGTGGAAGCTTTCCGCAGGCATGCTGCGGTGCAGTTGGTAAGCATGGGAAGGCATCCCGAGTGCTGTCCTTCCAGACCCTCAGGGTGATGCCACAACTGCTTGCTCCTGGCTGCAGGTGCAGGGTGCTGACAGGCTCCCATCCCTTCTTGCCACATCCCAATAAACAAACGGCAGAAATAATTCAATCAGCTTTCTGCAAGCCATGTCCTGCTGGAAGCTGTGGCCCTTCCTCCTCAGGCAGGCTTCATGCTCCTGTTGCTCCAGGACTAGACTGGCCCAGTGCATTCCCTAGAGGCAAGTGCCTTGAAAGCATCCATCTGGAGATCATTGTGGAGTACAGCTGCTCTCTTCACAAATGGGAAATTTTGCCAAAAACATGTGATGGCATTTCTTCGGGAGCTGCAAACTGGCTTCTCACTGGAAACCTAAAGGTTTCTCAAGCTGAAAATGGCCTGGCATGGGTCCACCTAAGGAACTGCCTCCCTGTGCCAAACCGCTACATCCATAGCCAGCAAAGGTACCTGATTTGGATGCCCCTCATTAGAAGAGGCAGCGATATTGGTAGGGCATTTTGAAGAAGGCACTTTGTTTCTGGAAGGTCTCCTCAGTTGTTTGGTCCGAGTATCATTTCACATGCGTTTGAAGAGGCTGATCTCCACTACTGGAAGTGTGAAAAGGTGAACAGCTGCTGGGAGCTGCCGGTATAGTTAATATTAGTAGGTAAGAGTGTTATCAGTGCGTGATGAATGAAGAGTTAGGAACAAGGTGTTAGGAATTCCAGTCTCTTGGATAAACCTTTTCAAGTGCTATTCACATCTAAATAAATACTTCTCAATAAACAAGATTTCAGGCTGGTGCGTATCCAAGCCCATTTGTGTGTGGGGGGGTTTGTAACTGGCAAAGGTTTTAGGACTGCCAGTGGTGCCATGTCAAGATTTTGGATTGAAAAAGATAGAAAACCGTCTCAGTTCTTAAAAAGGTGACAGTTTCTCAGGGGAACACTTCGCTTGCTGTGGTAGAAACACCCGCAGTTTTTCCCATTGAAAGATAAACTGCAGCCTTCTCAGCAATGCCATTTCAGTAAGAGTTTGCTGACCCTTTTCATGAAGGATTATATATCTGAAAGCAATGACACTACACTTTATCAGTATTCAATGGGTGGATTTAAAGAACAGTTTTTGTCTCCTGTCGTAGCAGAGAGCATCAGTCTGAATAAACACAAGCAGTGAACAGTGGTAAAAATATGAAATGGATTAGAAAATGTCAGAGTTGTCCTACAAATACAACTTTTTGCACAGACAGCATATGCTATAACATGGAGATAAATTAAGCTATTCCATTAAAACTCTTATTTCTCTCCATGGAAGATCATCAGCTAACTCAGGACCCGAGAGATTTTGTTATTTGTAGCAGCCACCGTGGTAGCAAAGTGGACAAACACATGGCCCGCTGTGAACTTAAAAGTAATCCCTTTCTTGTTCATCACATACGTAATTCACTTTAGGTTCATATCAAAGAGCCTTAATCAACAGGACTACTCTTAGGCATATACTTAAGTGTTTTAACTGAGCTCGGGCCTGAGTGGTCTGGTTAGTCACAGCCTTAAGCTCTTTAGGGCCTTTGCTACCATAAATCTGTGGATTTCACAGAATCTGAGAAATTGGAAGTGGAAAGGAATTGTGGCTTTCAACCCACTGCCAAGACAGGATTTTTTCCTTTTCTGTCCATTTCTGTTCAGTTTTCCAACAAACATGAGGTTTCTAGGCTTCTTTCAGTTCTTCCGTATGATCTGACTGATCATCTTCATTCGTCTGCCTAGATGTTCCTCCTGAAATATTTCACATTACACAAGTGCTTGCTGTTTGATAAATCTTTGCAGACTTTTATGATGTCTCTGTTGTCTAGTTGCTGTTTCATCATGTGATGCATGTGAGCCTAACCTTCAGGAGATCAGTTTCTTCAGGCTCTGTTTGCAGGTTTCAAAATTATATTTTAACACAGGTGTGAGGCAACCTTTCCAACAGAATAAAACTGTGCTCACTTGATTTTTTTATTCTTCCACACCCCCTTTTTTGGTCCTACATAAATATAAGAATGACTGCAGTGAGTCAGACACTGGGACTACTATCCAAAATAGTATTTTGGAGTAGATGTTTAGGAAAAGAGGATAAAAATTAAGATCTTTCTTTGATGCCCTTTATTGCTGTACCCTTCCAGCTTCATCTTCACGTTAGTGTCTCCACTGCTAGCCATCCTTGATGTCTCCACTGCTGTGGCTGTCCGTGTTATAACAGCATAACTTCTACATCCTGGGAAGCAATGAGAAGCTGTTCACTTGTGGCTTATATTTAGAAGTCTTAATATGTGACCACAAGGCACAGAGAAACAGTTAAACTATGTTCTTCTTTCTCTTGCTCCCTGTTTTTTTTGGGAATGTTTAGGAAGTGTATGTTGGCAAGGAGACTCTCTGCACCATCGATGGCCTTCATTTCAACAGTACCTATAATGCAAGGGTCAAAGCTTTCAACTCATCGGGAGTTGGTCCTTACAGCAAGACAGTTATTTTACAGACGTCGGATGGTGAGTTGGGTTTTTGCCAGTTTCTAAGTGAAAAGCTGCAGGTCTCAGTGGCAGGACACTTGCATCCCCTTATACCCACTAATATCTTCGGCACTTACTGGCAGGGAGATTGTGGATCTTCTGAGCGGAGAGGCCAGGAACTCAGTGTGCACAGGGACTGAGCTCTCCTCCTAGTACTTTTGGTGATTTTCCATTATCAGTAACACTTCAGGTTTCAAATCATGCAATTTTATTTGGCTGTAGAAGTCTGGGGTCTAACTAAGCTTTTTATTTGCTTTAGCATACAGAAGCAGTTATGCAACACATGGGATATTTGTGTGCCACTCTGTCTCCACTTCTCCATGTATCTTTGGAATTTGCCTTTTTCTTAACTACTGCTTCAATTTCACAGCAAGGTTTGATAATACAGAGATGGGAATTCATGCTTGTTCCTCTGTAATTACGCTTGACATCCATATGGGCATTACAAGAAGTTCATCTTCATTAATGATATCGTAATGAATCAAGAAGTGCATGCTATTATCACTTCCACTTTTATGCTGTGTTGCCAAAATAGGCCAGTATAAAAAATTTATACTTTAAGAGCTTTTGCTGTTTTTTCTTTTTTCTCCCACCTTTCAAAAACTAGCGAAGTCGGTTCTAACCAGCACAGACACAGTGGAACTCCATTTCCATTAAAGGCAATCCTGAACCAATTCACCTATATGTGAGCAGTTTCCATATTGTGGAGAAGCCTTTGTCTCCTCAATGACTTCCTTGTTACTGTGTGAGAACAGAAAGTCACTGCCCTTAGCCGTTTACATTCAGAGGAACAAGCACTGATAATATAAAGCACTTCTGAGCTGCAAACCAGCAGGGTACCGGCTCTAAGCAATCTTGTGTAGCTGCCTACAGTAACGAGGAAAGATGGTCTTTATTACCTGAAAGTGCAGTGGGGTCTTTAGGAAGGCAGAATCTCATTCTCCTAATTGAAGTAAAGCAGATGACACTTGAACACAGCCCATTCTGCCATAATCCTGCCTTTCCTTTTCCCCTTGCACAGTGGCGTGGTTCACCTTCGACCCCTCCTCAGCTCACAGAGACATAGTGCTGTCTAATGACAACCAGACTGCCACCTGCAACAGCTACGATGACCGGGTTGTTCTTGGCACAGCAGCCTTCTCCAAGGGCGTGCATTACTGGGAACTGCATGTGGACCGGTATGACAACCATCCGGATCCAGCCTTCGGTATTGCCAGGATTAACGTCGTCAAGGACATGATGCTAGGCAAGGACGACAAGGCATGGGCCATGTATGTTGACAACAACCGCAGCTGGTTCATGCATTGCAATTCTCACACCAATCGGTAAGTGCCACTTGCATGCTTTTCTCATTACTGATCGTTTTTTCTGCTTTGCATCGGAGGAAGGGGTCTCAGCAAGCCATCTAGTCCATCTCCCTGCTAAACGTAGTTATTTTATTCCTTCTTAAAAATCACTAGTGACAGCAATTGCACCTTAGCAATCTGTGTTGGTGTTTGTTATCCTCACTGTTAGCAGTTTTTTCCCGAGATCTAGCCTAAATGCCCTCTGCTGTGATTTAAGCTGGTTATTGCACGTCCCACCCACAGTGTCAGCAGACAGGAGCACAGCGCACTGGGATGCAGGATTTCTCTCTCATTGCTGGAGGAGCACAGAGAAAGGCGGTTGATTGTCTTCCTTAGGAGGAATCTTGGCTGCAGGGCTACACAATAATTCAGCAAAGCGCTGGTGATTGCCTGTCCAAAATGCAGGTGTTTATCGCCAGTCCTGAAAGCTGATTAAAGGTAATGCTGTAGGTCACACTTAGGGTGATCTGGACACAAGGAACTGTTTGGCAGTGAGGGCTAAGTGACAGCTTCTGTCCAACTGAGCTGTTGTACTGAAGAGCTTTGAAAAATGTCTCAACTAGTACAACCAGCTTAGACAGAGGAGGATTTCAGAATGCCCCTGAGCCATGGTTACCAAACCCTTCTTTCTCCCACCTCTCGGAGGCTCTGTGTGCTCTACACAGCAGAGCTGTGGGGAGACGTGTTCTAACAGAAGCTACCTCCAGGGACGGATCACACAGAGACACCATGTATCAACATAGATCCAGCGTTGTGCTGACATGGTTGCACGGCTTTCGGTGCTCATGGGAGTTACCGCTGCCTAGTGCTGGCTGTGTTTCCTTGACGTGATGCTGGACTGTGTAGGGGAGACAGGGTCAACTTCGCCTGAAGCTCCCTGGGGTATCACCAGAGCAGAACTGTGCTGCTCTCTCTCCGTGTCCCAGGAGAGGGTCAGCCCTAGCTGAAGGTCAGCTGCGTACTAGGGGAACTGAGACCCAAGAGAAGATCTCCTCTGAAGGGTGTGATTCAGGATCCTAAGTCCCTTGCTTGTTTTGGAAAATGGTGTATTTGTATACCTACTCTATCACGATGGGAGATTGATGTACAAATAAAGTGACCAATCAAGGACACGTAGCACATCTGTGGCAGAGCGGGAATCAATTTTGATTTAGTTTTCTACTGACTGTCCCAGCAGGTCTTCCACACTTACTAGCTCAGGTGTTTTTTCTGTTATACCAAATGGTTAAAAGAAAGGCTTGCAGTGATTTTTAAAATGCTGAAATGGAGGTATTATTTCCTTAAAGACGTAAGTTCATGCCAACATGCACTGTATGCTAAAGCTGGTTGTAATGTCTCCTGTTGAATAGTCATTTATGCTCTAAAGCATTCTTGTATTTTAAGTAAGTATACTGCAATTGCTGGGAATTTTTGTTTGAAGCACAGTTTGATTTTGCAGTTCATTACAGACAGGTGGAAGAACCTGTGGCTGGATCAAAAACTATTTGAAGTCAATTGGAATATTTTCCATGGCTCCAAAGACCTTGGATCTTGTCCTAAGACAATACAGAGTACAATAACATCAGTATAGCAAATATATCAAAAGGTTCTCTGTCCCTTTAACATCTTGATTCGATTTAGGGCGGAAGTAATGTTAAGCTGTATTAATTTTAATGCTCTGTGGAACAGCTTATGTTTTCTGGAAAAAAGCTGGCAACCATTCTGTGTACTACTGTCCCAGAAACCTATTTTATGGATTTGGTCCTCGGCATGCTCCTCCTGGCAAGCAACGCACGAGCTAAGCAAAAGCTTTTTCTCCGGGAAGCACAAACAATGGAAACACTTTGGATTTCCAATCATTCTGCTTAAACAGGAGAACAAAGTGCTTTCTGTTGATGATAGTTTCCCAGTTTTTGCTAGATAAAACACAAAGACTTTGCAGGCACATCCAAGGCATGGATAGACCCATGGCATATCTGTTCAAGTGAAGTATGCTCGTAAAGGGCATGTACTCTTATGAAATCACATGCACTTCAATGAAATTAGGTCTAGGCATTATATTTTTAACCGTGACAGCCAAGTAGGTCAGTTTTTTAACTCATTAGCTGTAACAGTCTTGTGGAAACAGTTATTGCTGCCTAGTTGTTTTTCCCCACTGGAGACAAGTGCATGAGAGCACAGTATCACAGTCCAAAGGAAATTTATTGTCAGCTTTTAGCCTCACGGATGTTACTGTGATGGAGGTTACATCTTAGTAATCATTTCATGCTTCCTAATCTTCATGAGAATGAATTAGGGCAATAAATAAATGACTAGCTTCAAGGATAAGCTGAGGTGGACCTTGAAAGACCTATTCATGGGACCTGTCACGTTTAGTGTACTTTCCTGTTCCTTTCACTCACAGCGTGCAAAATTGAACCTGCCAGCATCCTTAAACACTAGCATGACTTCTGTAATGCTAGAAGAAGAGGCATGCACAGAAGACTCTAATGCTATCAAGAACAGAGGGAACCTTTGAGAATAGCTTGAGCAAACTGGTTAAGAAAACACTTTAGGGCAGGGATGTAGCTTTGTGAGGTACCTTTCAGCCTCATTCCTGGAAATAATCAGTTCACACCAGAGATGATGTATGCCCATTGCTAAGAGGCACTGGCATTCATTGCAATAGATCTCTTCCTTGGCAAAGTTCCCAAGAGCAGGAGTACCTGGTGCTATAAACGCTACTCTAGACACTGCGTGGCTATGTAAAGAAAGAGATGGAAATCGCACTGCAATGTTTGATACTGAAAGACAGTGGGAAGTCAAAATCTAGAGAATTTGGAGTGTAGTCTTAAAGCCCCCTGCGATCGGGAGAGTCTCTTCACTGACTTCAGAGATCTCAAGACCAGGTTTTCATCACAGAAAAATGTTATAATTGACTGAAGAATACTGTCCTTGACAATAGACATGGTAAAGTTGTTAAATTACTGTAGAGCCCATGATTAAAATACTGTTAACAGAGAATTAAAGTAATTCTTCAGTTTATTAAAGTATTCATAAATTGTTAAGCTTTATTTTTCAATAATAGTGATACTACTGCTCTTAATTCCTCAAGCCAGTCCATGCAGTCCTACTCTGCACATTGTGCAAGCTGCTGCTGAAAGTGTCTTGGAATAGCAGCCTCCACTGCCACAGGCAATGGCATTTTTTAAGGTAGCCAAATTCCCCTATCTGCACTCCGACCTTCCAGGCTTCTGCACAGCACTTCCACACTCAGGACTTATTATTGCACACAGAAATAAAAATGTGCAGGACTGTGAGAAAAGAGGTGTGAGAAGTGAGATTTACTTGAAATAATGAAAGAGTGGTGCATATCTTCAAAACTGGATTATCATTGAATGAATGCTAAGTATTTATTGAAGAAGTATTGTAACAAACGGTTTGTTATTTTCCTTTTACCTGGCCTGCAGATTACTGGGGGCCTATGGTATAACTGCCATTAAGTAGTTTAAAAAACGCATTACAGTAAAGCAGCAGCTTTTTTACATGCTGCCACAGAAGCGTACCAGGAGAGAGCAACGTCAGTTTGAGTCTCTTGAGCTACCTGGCTTCTTTTATTGCAACTAAGGCATTTATTAATAAAATGATCCTGTAATACTGTCTAAATGATGTACAGAAGAGTGAGGAAACGCCTTGCGTAAGTTTGCTCACGGAACTTGGACTCTCCCACCTCTCCTCCTAAAGGAAGTGACCATGACAGTAGCCCAAAAAGCCCTGGAGTCCTCAAAGTACTGTTCCCAAGGAAATCACGGTATGCTCGGGAAGAGCAGCTGTTCAGCCTCAGAGAAAGTCCAGCCTCCCTGGTAGCAGCTCGGCAAAGTGCCCCTGCTTGCCTTTGCCCTGGCCTCATCCTGCCAGAGCTGGTTGCTCACTGTGGGGAGGTGGCAGCTGAGGAATGGGCCATCTACCTGCTGAATTCCTGCAAGACTTGGGGCAGCAAGGAAGGGAAAGGGTCCCCACCCCTCTGCTCTGCCCCTGCGGCTCCTGGAGGGGCCCCAGCTGGGTCCTGCACTCGCCTCGGATGGGCTCTGGAGCCAGCATCTATCTCCTCTTCAGTGGGGCTGTCCCCGGGGGCTGCAGAGGAGACACTCAGTGTCACTATGCAGCATGCAGCTAATTAGCCCACAAGAAGCAAATTAGCTTATCATATAGGAAAGAGCATAATAATCTCAAAAAGGCAAAGTTGCTGTTTCTGTTTCCCTGAGAGAATCAATGTCATTGAAAAGGATGTCATAAAATCTGTTTTAAAACACTGCAGGATATAAAGCGTGGTGCCCTACAATCAAAACTGCTCCTAAACGGAGAAAAAAAATAATGTAATCTATTTGTAAATAGCTCTAGACCATAGTACTGCTGTTTCCCACAATCTCATCATGAGTTTTATGATTGAGTGCTTTTAATAAAAACAGTCTGGATACTGAGATACTGAGGGTAGGTAAGCATCTTAACTTTTGTTGGAAAATAATTTACTTTATGGTTTTGGAGAAGAGCTCAAAGGGAAACCTATTAATGCTTATAGGACCAGAAAGCAAATAAAAGGAACCTGAGAACAGTAAAGTTTGAAATCTAACACATCTCAGAGCCAATTTGTGATTCTCAGCTATACTACTATTGTTTGAAGAGCTTTAAATGGAGAAGTTGAATAGTATTCTTTACTATTATGCCACAGATAAAACTCCCTTTTTCTTCAGGGGAAATGCTATGGGTCACATTTAGTTTAAAGGAAACCAGTTTATGACACCTAGTGGACAAGATGAAAATTTCTTACCCTGCGCTATATTTTTCCTACTCATATTTTGATCCCTCCCCCCACCCCCCCTTTTTTTGATGTTTTGCCTACCTATTGTGATAAATTTTATGTTAAAATTGCATTAATCTTGTGAATGTTGTGTGCCTGAGAGGAGTGCGTGGGACAGAAGACAGCTGCTTCCTTTCCTACTGCAAATTATTTGAAATCTGATTTACCCTGAACAAATTGTGTCAGGCTGTAAATCCATCGCAGAGCCCCCATGATATTAGCAGAGTAGCAGTGCCTGTGGCCAATCTGCGTATCTAGTAGATTTTTTTGCTCAGTGCTCTTTAAAGTAATACTGGGTTTGACTAACCCCCAAATCAAAGTGCATTAATGTCAAATCGCTCAAGCGTGTAATGGCTGGCTGAGTCTGTCCTGGCAAGCTCTGGTACCACAGTAGCTCTCAGCAGCTGCTCCTGACACAACCAATTATCACTGGTATTAATAACCATGCCTGCACATTTGAAACAGCTTCCAGTCCTATAACTGAGCACCTTGTCAGTCAGGGAGCTACGCTTATCCCTAACCAGCCCCGCTTTCCCTTCCTCCCCAAAACCACTGCCTGTTGTACCTGTGCTGGCTCCCCAGTCCAGCTGGGTCCTCTTAGAGGATGCCAAGGTGAGTACTCGAACTGGAAGTCTGAGTCTCAAGCTGTTAGCAGGCGTAATGATTAGAAACGAACGCCCAGGACACCAGCTTTCTGCTTTTTCATTCCCTGCTGTGCATCAGTTCACTATAGCAGGGATGCTCTGAGGAGCTGTGTCTCCAGGACTCCTGTCCTGCACCCTCAGTACTCCCTGTCTTTCATCAGCCGAGGGGACCTGTTAGCTCTGGACCCCATTTTCAGCTCTTAGGTTGCAGTTGGAGGAGAGATGGACCTAATTTCTCTTTAGGATCCCCCATTAAGCTCCCATGAATGTGGTACATATGCTTCAGATAAAGGCGTGGATCAGTCATTGCCAAAGGCCGCGGGAATAATCATTTCACTGTACTGCTCCACTCTGCCTTTGCTTAGTAAGACTGCCTTCTCCTAGAGAGAGCAGTGGTAGTGTAGCACTCTGCCTTCACCAACAGAGTGGTCCCTTTGTACCTTAGGACTGAAGGAGGAGTTTCTAAAGGTGCCACTGTCGGTGTTCTCCTGGATCTGAACAAGCACAACCTGACCTTTTACATAAACGGGCAGCAGCAAGGGCCTCCAGCGTTTGAAAACGTCGAGGGTGTCTTCATGCCTGCATTGAGCCTCAATCGAAACGTCCAGGTAAGTCTTCTGCAGTTCAGTCCCACTTACCCTTCTCATCTAAAGGAGAGTGTATGCTACCGGCCATTGCTGCTGGGGCTGATAACATCATCTGTAAGTAGTCAGTATGGACAGGGGCTCTTTCCTTCTCAGACTGACACCTAGGCTACTAACACTTTTTGGAAAACTGCATTTGACCTTCTGCCTTGCCTCACAGATGTGAGGAGTAATGCTGTAAAAACAAGTAAAAGTACCTGCACACACTAATTCCTACACTTACTTTGCTGCAATGCTCCACTTGGAAAGCAGTGGTGCTAAGGCTTCCTCTGCCAGTTTGACTTAAAACCATGAGTATCCTAATTCCTCTTAGATCTTATGTTTGGAGGTTATTAACATTGGCAAGAGACAGAAATGTGAGCAGCACAGTGATAAGGAGAGCAAAGACAACGCATTTCAGAGAATTAGTGCAACAGAGAAGACCCAGTCAGCGCACCATGCCTGCTCTTTCTGAACTTTGGAAACGGCTCTCTGTTCTCAAGAGGATCTCCTCGTGGAGGAACCTTCTTTAAATATAATGCATTTTTACTTCAAGACCACTGCATATGCCTAGAAACAGGACGTAGTGTAAGGGAGAATATATAGAAACACCCAGGAGCCTGAGGACTGAAGGAGGTCAGCTTAGGTCAGGCAGGACCAATGCATCCAGGGTGGAACACTCATCATTTAAAACACCCAAACTTGAAAACAGAAACCTCGCATGGCCTCATTAGTACATGAACATTTAGCATCCAAATCTTTGAAGAAGGTTTCATAGCTTTATTGTATTTGATGCACCAATGTGGAAGACACAGGCACTTCCCTGGGCACCTCACTGCTGTATACAACACAGATTTTTACTCACAACCTAACTTCAGTTTTAGCTGTCTACACCATTTAAGTACCTGGCTTACACTTCTACCACAACTGAGTTAAGGTAGAGCATGGCCGACAAGGGGGCAGGGGGAAACGGAGACTAAGCTTGTGTTTGCTGTTGAATGGTGCTCTTGTACGTCTGTGTGGGAACCCTGACCTTGTAGAGATGTCAGATTATAGAAAGAGCACTAAAATGTCCTGTGCTCTGTCCTGCCAGGACAGAAAAGATAAAAATTTTCTTGTATTTAGTACATGGGCTCCACTCTGTGATCCCTGTCCTGAAGTACTTGGGGTCCCGCACACAAAGATGCTATCCACCTTGCATCTAGCAGGCAGCACTGCTGGAGACCTACAACTGGTGGCTGGATTTGGACACCTGGTTTCTAGACCCCACGGTGTTCAGGAGGGAAGGGGGAAGGAGACTTGTCTATTTCAGGGGCTCAATATCATCTCCATTAATATTCTTGATGACTTAAACCTGGACCTGAAGTCCCACAGCCCTTCCCCTGTCATTTACTTGCTCTTGGCCTTCACGAATGCTTTCTGCTGAGGATGTCCCAGTTTTGGATCTACGTCTTATTTCTTCTTTACGCAGGTGACCCTGCACACGGGACTGGAGGTGCCACAATGTGTAAAACAGCCCAAGTTGCCCAACAACTAATGAAGCTCCTGCCCGACCCTGTGCTGGATTCTGTAAGCTTTCTCAGTGTGATTTGGCACTTTTCAGTAAGTCAGTAAAAAAGCATTCTCTTCCCTGACTTAAAACATTGTACAGCATGTTGCTCACCGAATAATCCGCTGGTTACAGCTAGCCCACTCCTTTCTTAATTTAACAGCCATAGCAAGCATACCCACTGAACTGGCACTCGATTGCAGATGGGTACTTGAACACATCTACACTGCATTGCATACATACGTACACACATGTGCACACACACACGTACATTTATAAAGCAAAAGGTTAAATGAGTGTATTTTCTCTCTCATGGCTGGATTTGTGCTTAAAAGATATTAGGGATGCTGGAAAAAATGGTTAAGACTAAGACTGAGGGACAACGGCTGTTGGAGCAATTTATCAGGAGGTGAACTGGATTCCCTTGCCACCTGAAGTCCGTAAATCAAGAAAGCATATGTTTTGACAGCTGAAGGGGAGGCTGTGTGCTCAGGAATTCCTGGGTGTCCATTACATTCAGGGGCTCAAATGACCATTAATTGTTTCTTCTGGCTCTAGATTGCAGTAAGCTATGGGATAACGTTCCCCTAGAATTCAGTGGCAGAAATTATCTCGTTATCTTCAATGAGAGTAAGATTGGTTTCCAAACACTGCCACGTAATAGTTGCGCTCATTTTAGCTAACACCATGATACATGCAGAATTCAGATACAAAAAGTAGAGAGAAAAATATCCTTGATACATTTTAGTGTTTGTTACTTAGGTGTGATTGTGGAGACTATCACATACAGAAGATCTGATTGTGGTTATCAGCACAACTCTTGAAAAACAGTGCGGGGGAGATCCCTTTGAATTTAATTGATAAGAGATCTATTTAAATACAGCACATGCAAAGTATCCCATGTAGAGAAATGCTGCTTTCCAGCCTTGATCCCGATAAGCCCTGGGCAGCTGTAGTTCCAATGTAGCTTTGAGATCAGGAGCCTTAATTTTCTGTTAGATTAGTGCGAGCTAATTAATGTCTTGATCCTAATGAAGCACTTGAGCGAGAGAGATTCATAGTGTTAATGTGAAATTCATCCCTACAAATTTTTCTGGATTGGGTCATAAATCTTTTGCACGACTTACCCGTGTCTGGCATCTCCCATGAAAACAAGCAGCCGTTTCAGGTGCTGCCCGTGACAACTGGAGTCTGACTGACAGGGAAATTTTCCCACAGCCATGGCACTGTCACCTGCGTGCTGTTGTCAGAAAACACATGGATTTGCCTGTGTGCTTCTCTTCCTCTGATCTCAGTTAACACATGCAAGTGTGCGTGTGTATGGCGGCAATGCGTAAGGACAAGATGCAGCAGACTGCGTGAGCCCATGACATCTTGGACTTTCTCACTCTAATCCTGCATAAGTGTGGTGCTATCAAACAAGAAAAGCATATATTCTTAAATCCCATCGATGTACTATTTCCTTTTTTTTAAATCCTGCTGCTTATACAAATTTTCCTCTCCAAGCATATGTATACGCACATGCATATTGTTATCAGACATGTAATTATTAAACCTGAAAACGAATTATTCTAACCAAAATCCAGCTTACTGCCTTGCATTGAACGACAGCCACAGGACAAACAGCCCAGGCCTGCCTTCGGGCCGCCTGCCAGCCCCCAGGCGTCCTGCTGCAGGGACACTTCTGGTCTCTGGCTGGAGCACATCACTCAGGCAGTGCTGAGCGATGGCGAGGCTTCCCTGCGGCAGAGCGGCCAGGATCCTCCCTGGGGTTGTCCCACCTTGCACCCGTTGTGGGGAGGGGGAGGCAGCCCAGAACGAAACAGTCCCGGGCTATTGCACAGACGAAGAGCAGTCTGCCATCATGCTGCCTGTAACCAACCCAGCATCCTATAGCCCTCCTCTCTTGCAGAACAGCAGTGCACCTTCAGCGATGTCAAGACCAAAACAGGAAATAAAACCAACGACGGGAAAAAATAACATAGATTGGGAAAGCAACGGTACTTTTTTTGAAGTCTGAAATGGATTGTATTAGTAAACTTGTAGACATTGGAATAACTGTGCTACGGTCATCTTGGTTTCTTAAGGAAGAGCAGAGACCAACTGTGTTACAATTTTCAGTTTCGTTTAATGCTATATGAACTCATGCAGGATTTTCTAATTAGCGGGTCTGCTTTAACCTACCTCAGCTAGAACGCTACCGGACCCTGAATTTCCTCCTGAGTGTGCTCTTCTACGAACCTAACAGTTGTAATCATAGCATTGGCTTTGAGTATTGCCAGTCAGAGCAGTGTATGGGAATACTGTACATAAGTTGCACATAGTTTTTTATATTGGGAAACATCCCGTGATAATTTTAATACAGAAGGCACTCCACTTTCACTTGTATTAAAAACAAAAGGGCGTTGTTTGTTTTGGGACTGAACCTTTGTCTTTACTCCCAACTTCTGTGAAGGAAACTCAAATGAATTTACATCTTTCTAATCTTCAACCATTGCCAGATGTTTAAAATTGATTCTGAATGGGTTTTAGAAGTGTTTGCAGTACTCGGTTTTGGTTTCCATAGTTGCTTTGGTGTCGGTTCCTGGTGTGTTATACCTTGGGGAGAACACAGTGAGTGATACAGGTTACTAATTTCTAATGGAAATACGGACAGTAGGTAGGGACATGCTTCAGAGCTATAGAGAAGCTCATTTGTTATCCTCTACACATTCTAAAATTCATAAAAGTAGGGTACAGACTAGCTACCATTACAGTCTCCTTTTAGCCTAGCAGAAATGCAAATAAAATAAAAGGAATACAGTTAGAAGTAGGTAACCTGCATTAGTAAGACTAATTTAGCCTGGATCAAAAACTAAACAAAGTGGTTCTATGTGTTGGTTGTGTACACATTCAAGGACTTGGGTTTGGCACGGCCCATAGCAATAAACCAATTACCACAATAGAGCGTAGTCTCATGGCTTCAGCTGGATACATTTTGGTAGTTTGATTAACAGAAATAATGCTTCAGTAGTTAGAATTACACTAGGAAACTAATTACCCCATCCGTGAATATTTATGCAGAGCACCCAGATGGCAGTGGCCATCTGAACATAGGCAGAGCAGAATTTTCCCTTTGCAGAACAGCATCAGGTGGGGAGAAGTGGGGCGCTTCCATTTCTCTGCTCAGGCTGGAGGTAGTTTGCTTCTCTGCAGGTAACTTCCCCGAGGTCTGTCTCATTATAAACCCAGCAGTTCGCATGTTCTTCATCTACAGGATCTCTTACGCCAGTTTTTGTTTCCTCCAAATCCCTCCTTTAGGAGGGAGTCAGCCTTTAGTACTACGGTCCTCGCAGAAACTGTGTTGCTGGGTGTCTAGGGAGAACCCAGGGGACTGAAGAGTAGCATAGATACCCAAGGGGACCACTTTGGATGCTCTTGCTTCCTTTTGATTCCTTGGGGTATTTGTGCAGCTCTCTGGGACTCCAAGCTCCTCTGGCACCTGGACCCGCACAGAGCTGCCTTGCGTGGGACTCTTCTGCTCCTAGAGGCCAGGCTGCTCCTTACAAGCAGCAGAGCAGAGCCTTTTGCACTGGGATGAATCCCAGCTGCTATGGTACAGAGCCCACACAAGGTAGCTGTAAATTGACTTAAAGTTAAAAAAAACCAAACAAGCCACAAACAAACAAGCCCTCCTCTAATAAACATAACAAAGCTTGACTTCTGCATAGGCCGATTGGAACCTCTGCACAGCTGCTAAATAAATACAGCAGGCAAACTTTCTGTCCTGCAGGGCAACAAGGGACTCTTAGTTTTCATCTACCCCTGTGAACCCCAACCTTAGCCTTTGTGAACCTTCTTCCTGGCTCTTTCCTCTGCAAATTTCCCTGTTAAGTTTAGCGGGAACAAACAGGAGTGTGCCATCAGGAGCGTTGTTGGCCTTCCCAAGGCGTGCAATGCTACACAATTTCCACTCCCTTCTTTCCCCTCATCAACTCAAAAAGAGCTCACAAGAAGATCTCTTATTAATACTTAATGTCAATACGAGCACAAGCCTAGCTGACAATCCCTTACTACTACTGCTGTGGGAAGGTATGCGCTATAAAATAAATGTCAGTGAGGACAGTAGCATACTGTGATGTATCATGATTTGGAAAGCAATTTGGCTTCTAAAAAACATAGAAGAGATAGGCAAACAGCATTGTCACCTCCTATACTTGCCTATTCAGTTAAGATACATAGAGGAAAATATATTGGACTGAATGAAATAAATAAAATTTTAAAAGCATGAGCTTACATATATCAGAGTTTAAGAGGAAAAGTGTTAAATGTAATTTATTATATGCATAATGTTACATCGTGTTGTAAATAATGCCATGATAGTGTATTGCCGTAGTTTGTTCTTGGCTGGTGATAGAGTTCTGTCATAGTGCTGTGTAAGCTTTTTTTTCCCCCCCCAAAGTGTAGTTAGTAAAGATGGCAGAGAGCACCAAATACTCTGGTTTCCGAGTTGTTCTAGAGCAAGAAGAAATGTGAGATGCAGCTTTTTTTTTTTTTTCTTTCTTACATAATAATATTTCTTAAACAAGGTAAGAGAGAGAGGAGATCAAGACTAAGCTGCCACTACCACCCTATGAAAAACACCCATGTTTGCAACTGCCGACAAGAGGCGGTGTGGGCGTTTTTGGCCCACAATTCAGATCACCTGTTCCTGTGAGAAGGGATGCAAAGTACCAACAACCTGGTAGCAGCAGCTTTCTGGTGCCATCTAGTACATCCTTTGCTCACAAACAGGAAGATGAGGAAAGAGAGTTGTTAGACCTAATCTCAGGCCTTACCAGCTTTGCAGCATTCTGCTTTAATAGCAAAGTCAAGAATTCAAATTTGAACCAGGCAAGATGATATGAAAACCCCAAGCATCTTGGCTAGATCAACTTTGGAAAGGAGATTACAGTTTCAAGTCCTTCAACAGGTTATGGTAACAAATGAACCACATTGCAAGTGTAAAG